GCCCTCTTACTAAATGCTGCGATCCTGTCCTAATTTACTAAATAAAGGAAACCTTTGGATGGTTGTTTTCTGCCACAAGTAAAGAGAGGCTCCCATTTAACGCTGCCACAAAAAGGCCAATTTCCAAGTAGACCTAACCTATGCAATATCATTAAATAGGATGTGCACCTAATGGCTAGCAACACTTCCAGGTATTGGACAATGGCCGTCTCTCACCCTGGCTGGGACTTATAATACAAAGTCTCCAACCTACTTTTTTTGTAGCTTCCACCAAATATGCCACCGATTTCTTATACTCCTCCTGAAGTTCAGCACTCAAATATCCTCCACTTTAGTTTCATATATGTGTTTATTCCTAAAGTGTTCATCAGCAGGAAAATGATAACTTAAACTGACACTAAACTTAGGAGTTAAACCTTCAAAATGCATTAAAGTACCTCAACTAATAACAATACTGTATCTTATTTGTGCATCACTCAGCTGTAGATCCTCAAATCATCTCTGAATTGGTGCCGACACTGTACTTCATTCTGGAGGGTGGCTACTTTTCTTCCCCATGGTCCCTGTGTGTGTTGTAGGGCTTGTTCACACCGAATGCAGTGCATTCCAGAGCGGTAGCTACTGGAACGCACCGCAATCTCTCACAAAACTTCCCCGCTGTGTGGAGGGGGCGTGGCGGTGCATTGAATTCAATGGCACAGCTTCCACGCCCCCCCCCCCCCTGCCTGCAGTGTGATCAGATGCGTGGCAAAACTTTGCCTGCGTTCCATTCCATACCACTGCAAACGCAAAAAATAGAGGTTCAATGCACCGCCACGCCCCCTCCCGCCCCAGAACGCAGGGGGAAGTTTTGAGAGGGATCGTGGTGCATTCCCGCAGCTACCGCTCTGGAACGCACCGCATTTGGTGTGAACAAGCTTGTAAAGTAGTCACCGCTCCAAGCTCGCTCCGGTGATGGACTACAATCTCAGGTTAAGTCTACTATTTTGTATTGAGATTGTAGTCCATCACAGGAGCGAGCTTGGAGCGGTGACTACTTTACAACACACACATGGACCATGGGGAACAAAAGTAGCCACCCTCCAGAAGGAAGGACAGTGTCAGCATGAATTCAGAGATGATCTGAGGATCTACAGCCGAGTGATACACAAATAAGATACATTTTTGTTATTAGTTAAGATATTTGAAGTATTTTTAAGATTTAACTTCTGAGTTTAGTGTCACTTCCACTCAGTAAAACAGAAACAGTTATGGCCTCAGAAAGGAAGAATGGCAGGGCTGGGAACTTTGGCAAGGACATTGAGCCGCTGTTCACATCTTCGCAATGCGGGAGAACGTGCAATAACACAATCGCTCATGCATCGCATGTTGCAATCTTAGGTGTGATGCAGTGTAATTATTTTTTAATGGCATCCCAACACACCTATCCATCGACTGTATGTTGTATTGCACCACATCACATGGTAACGTATGATTATGCAATGCGGAGTGATTTGAAATAAAAGGTGAATACCCGTCTTTTAGTGTGATTTATCTACAATAGGTAGCCTATTCAGGTTAATATGGCACAGCGCATCACAAGCACTCTGTCATTTGCCAGTCAGAGAGAGCAAGTGTTATTTGTTCTTTCAGTATGTGTTCTAAGGCCCCAATTGGCCCTGCTCATTTCCCCTTGCATGTGCTGCAAATGAGAATTTAGCCCTAGAGTACCTCACTTGCATCTGAACCCCACCCCATGCCAGAGAAGTGTTCAACTTTCCTAAAAATACAAGGGAAAGGCTTGAGAGAGGGAGTGTGTGTGTGTGTGTGTGTGTTTATGGATATAGATATATCTATAGATAGATATACACAACATGCCAGGCACCAACCATACTGTATACAGTAACAGAATCCCACCAGAGCGTGTGACAATGTGACCAAACTGTACAACGGTCTCAAAATTCCTGGCATAATGCAGAGAGCTGAATGTAACCAACAATCTAAAACCTATGTTTTATGTTTTAACTGAATGGAGTGCTCTGTAGACTGCCTGCCCCTAAGAGTGGTCGCTATGTACCTGCACAAACAGACTATTCATGACAATCTGTGGGCAACTTTAGTCCTTTGACTTCCCCAGTGTTTTTTTTTTTTGGTATCCCATCATAATGTGTCCAGTAGTTCCTACATAGGCTCACAAACAGCTTTTGTTCTGGAAGTTTTCATTCAGGTTGTGTCCATATACATGTCTTAAAGCCAGCTTGCAATTACATTTATACTATAACATTTATAGATGGTCAAAATACATCTTTAAAAACCCCCAATATATTTGAGAACATAAAATAAGATTAGGAAAGTGTTTTGTGTAGTCTCTGCTGATGTGTGTTTCATCGTTCTTCTGCTGCCCCCTAATGGATTTATTTCAGAATGTGCTGTAAAAACGTAAGGGCATTCACACTTTGCCTTCTCCATTTGTTTTTCTAACCAAGTACGGTATATGATTTGTTGTCTAACTTATAGATTTCACAGGTTTATGTTTACGTAATGATGCTTTAACGCTTTCTCTGCCACCGACATATGGCATACAGCAGAACAAAAATATTTCCAGCTGGCCATCTCAGGATGCATTACGTTGTCTGCATTCGACCTTCTGCTTTAAGCTCATGCTCGCTCCATCGACTATGAACTTATAACAGAAGGGGTCCCTTGACTCTTCTGTGTAAATGGATAGTTGTCTTTGGCACCTGACAAGCTGCTGATGACAGCCATTCATTCAAAATGTGACCCCTTATATTTCCCCAAAGTCCCTTGACAGTAATGTAAATAATGATACAAATAAAAAAAAGAAATAAAACACCCCCCACATACACATAACATAGAGCAACAGTGTGCACCATATTGTGTGTGTACATTATGCACATGCTCTGTGGTACATTGTTAGAACACATCACAGTGTTTGATTTTTTTGTTTACTTTTTAAAATATTAAGGGTCTAGTCCCCCCCTATCACATGCGCTAACGCAGTTGCATTGCGCAGAGTTTGCAACACACATTGTAATGTGCTTGATGCGCATGGCATTTTTTTTTTGTTCCATTTCTTGTGAGGCCATATCCCTTTTTTTTCTTTTCATATCCATTTCTTTTTTTGTTCTGTGAGTTGCATTGCGTTGACACACCTTTGCGCACGCTCGGCTGAAAAAAGTAGAGCCTGCTCTCCTTTTTTTCAGCGCAGCTAAACGCAACTTGCTGATGTGAACTGGTCTCATTGAATTTTTAAGTGCTGTACATTGGCAATGCATTGAGGAACGCAAAAGCCGAGCCTGGCGGTGACAGGATTAAATAGTGTCAGTGTTTTATCAGCTTTCTACTAATAGCTAATGGGTTTTAAGAGCCTTTCTAAGAAAATTTAAACCTTAGCCCTTTCAAACAAATTACTACAAACACAAAAATCTTTTTTGCACACGTTTTGTTTATTTTTTTCCATAACAAAAGTAAAAATACACATAAGAAAAAATGTGTATTTTTGCTAAAATAGTATATTTTTTTAAAAAGAACTATACATTTAAAGAAGGCCAGTGGGATTTGGGTCCTGGCACTTGGGGATTAATTCTGTCACTCATGAGGCTTTTTAGAAGAGCAGAGAGAATTTTAACAGACACCTTATTAGGGCATACAGTAGATCTACTTGCTGTGATCAATAAAGTGTATCTATAGCCAAAAGAGATTTGTCTCGTTTTTGATTAGCAGTATGAAGAGTAGAGAATGATTAACCCTCCTGTTAGGTTTTACTGCTGCTGTCATTGTCTTGTTTGGGAGCTTCCCCTTCATTTCCAGTCCTGGAGAGGCAACTGAACATTGGATGGGTTAGTGTGACACAAGATTTAAGCAAATCCAGTAGGAACTTGACAGGCTGGCAGTCTGATGACCTGACTCCGGGTGCTATTCATTTTATTCTACAACAGCTCTCAAACTCACTGTGCACATACAAGCCCCGATGAAGAGGAATGTTTGAGCTCCTGAAACACACTGGCTTTCATTTTACATGTCTAGATCAATAAAATTCCAACTGGACTTGTGTCACTCATACTTCAGATGTTCTACAGACCACTCCAGGGATTCTTTGTGATACCCCAGTTGACAGAGAGCTGCCTCTTAAAAGCTAGATTCTGACACCTGTTTTTTCATCCACTCCAGCACTCCAAGAACACATATATCTACCACTGGAGATACAAAAGGAAGTATGAGGCAATATCTTCAAAGTAAGGGAAAAAATCTCTTTCTAGACAGTTGTGCCCAAAACAGGTGTACCCACTGAAAGTTGGATTTCCCATCACTTACTGTCCTACAACTGGAAGATGGGAGATGCACAGTGTTGTATTTCACGTGGTAGGACAGAAAGTGATGGACAATCCAACATTTTGTCCTTGAGAACCCAGGACAGTAAGTGATGGGAAGTCCAACATTTGCTATCTCCCAGGGGAAATCTTTCAGTGGTTACACCTGTTTTGGTCACAACGGTCTAGGAAGGGTTTGCCCCTTTTGAATTGGTTTCCTCATACTTCCCATTGTAGCTTCAGTGCTTGGACGGGAAATTATGGGAAATCCAATATTTTCCATCTCATTTTCCTGTTGGATTTCCCATCACTTTCTGTCCTACCACTGCAAATACAACAGGAAAATGTGAGATGGAAAATTTTGGATTTCCCAAGACTTCAAAGGGACAAACCCTTCCTAGACCGTTGTGACCAAAACAGGCATAACCACTGAAAGATTTCCCCTTGGAGATGGAAAATGTTGGACTTCCCATCACTTACTGTCCTGAGGTCTCCAGGACAAATGGAGATGGTGATTTCCCCCAACCTGACAGGGGGTTCTAACATCCCTGCACTCCATCAAAAACTAAAAAGAAAGATTTTGGCTGTAGATACACTTTAACACTGTTACTGTGGCTCTCTGTGATATATGTCCATTGCAACATGTTCAAAGTTTCACCTGAACCATTTTGTCTTTTCATTACCTTACAGAAAGAAATGACCGTGCGGATGTGCCAGTGAAGAATGATGTCAGAAGAATGATCGGCTTCTTCATTAAAATATATGAATAGTCTGAGGAAGACATAAACATGTGACTGTCAACCTGGACTGAAGAGCACATGACTTCTTCCATTCCTGGATCTCTCCCAGTTTCTAGACTCCACCAATGCTGCTAAGACAACTCTGTGGATGGCGTAGTGGGAGAATCGGACCATTTCACATTATCTCCATGGATGAAACATGACTAGACATACATTCTAGTGTACTATGCCCAAAATGTTGCTGCATAGCATGACTGAAATTCAGGGTTTCACAGATGAATTTATACTATTTTTAATTAACTGATTTTTACTAATGTCGAATTACATCTTTCTATTTTCTGTAGAACACTTTTTACTACTTACAGTACTTTTGGAATTTTTAATGAAAAACAGTCAAGATGAATTTATATCTTGGAAAAATGGATAAATGAGTTTTAAATTTGAATTTAGGGGTTAGTCTAATAATAGTGTGATTAACAATACAAAGGACAGATGTAGTGTAATAAAAGCTCTGTGTCCCTTATAGTGCCTCGTTTTCAATCTAGCGCTACATTTTTTTTTTTTTTACTAAATGTTTGTTTTTAAACTTTGAAACCCTGGTCCCCTTACACTTTCCCCAACATATTGTCCATCTCCCAGTGTAGTTTGGAAGAGAACAATCCATCAAATGCAATTGTGGCACGGTATATACTAGGGATGCACCAATACCGTTTTTTAGGTATCGAACACGAGTACCGGTTTTTTTTTCCGGTACTCACCGATACCAAATACTGATACCAAAAGTCCCATAAGGAAGCCGGCTTCCCCATTAACATGGAGCCGGCTTTCTGGCCAATCGGGGCCATTAATGACTTGCCAACCTATGACTCGTCGCCTGGCTTCCTGATCGTTCGGGTAGCGGGTTCCCTGCTCCCTCGTCACCAGGTGAAGACGGAGCATGAAGTCGGCTTTCTGGCCAATCAGGAAGCCGAGGTGCGGGTAATGACTTGCCACCCGGCTTCCTAATTGGCATGGAGCTGGCTTTCTGGCCAATGAGCCAGGGGGCCATTTATGGCTTCCTGATTGGTCGGGGCGCTGGCCAATCAGGAAGTTAGGTGGCGGCTCCATGCTCCCTCCATCACTTGGAAGCATGGACCCAGCTTCCCAGCCATGCAGCGTGTAATGACTTGCTGCCCGGCTTCCTGATGCCGGAACTTCTGGTATTCGGCTAGCCGGTGGGAGCATTTGGGAAAGTACTTGGTATCCGTGCATCCCCATACACCAAAAGAGGTGCAGTATGTGACAGCCATTAATTACTTTGCACTAGCGAATGGAAAGGCTGAGTCTGAGATGCTTAGAATTATCTAAAGATTTTTCTTTCTGTACGTTGCTGTTTATTTGAGGTATTAACTCCCAGATGCTTTTTTCCTGTGGACCTAGGACCTTTTTTTGTCATAGAGGGAAAGATAAATGAGATGAAACTCACCTCTGTGCCATTGTATAATGCCTTCTACCATAATCACTTGTATAAACCCTAATATCACTTCTGCTTTCTCCCAAGACAAAGGGGGATATTTTTTATGTACTTTTATGAAAGAGCGGATATCGGTTTTTTTACACTGTCTCTCCATTTTATACCCTCTTTATAAAATGCAGAGTGGAGCTTGCGGTGTGCATCAGAGTGTTCTCTGCATTATGCTGCAGAAAAAACACTCTTATAGGAGAACAGCTTGGTCACATGACTTTGACAAGTTAGAACTGGAAAACGGAATATGGTAGCAAAATCCTGTTGTCACATTTTGGTTATATATTCCAAGGTAAAGAGATCTCAGGGCACATTGTAATAATATTTTGACATAAGCTGAAGGATGCAGGCAGGAAAGGCACAACATAACCACTTACCAGAGTGACATATTTGCCCCAATGTATATTTCCTTTGATTTACATTTCATACATTCCATTATCAAAACAGGCAATCTGCAGAGGAAACCTGCTTCCGTAGACGCTCATATCACTAGAGATGTCAAGCAGCAAATGATTCAATGTCATGGGATGTCACTCCAGTTAATGCGATAGAGTATTTATTTTCCAGAAAACACAACCTGATGATTCTTTATATGTATTTGATTACTACATTCTTAACGAAGAACTCTGGGCGCAATAATTCTTAACCCTTGCAGTGGGGCTACCTCTGCACTGCAAGGGTTAAGTGCTCGTTTTAATCTAGGGAAGACAATGCTGCCCTGAATCTTGCAGCCTGCTGGCTGTTAGACCGGTCCCTGGAGCCCCTATGCTCCGGCAATCTAAAGTCCTGTGAGTCATCACATGCTATTCAGTGTATTAGACGTGAGGATGCTGAGGGACATTACATCGCTGGAGCAGAGGAGGAGACAGGCTGCCGGGACCAGCCTGCTGCGAGGTTCAGGTAAGTATACGTTTTTTTATTTGAATCCCTAGCCAAAAATTAGCACTTTTGCAGTGTGGGGGTAGCAAGGGTTAAGAATAATTCTGCCTGGAATTCTTTAGCCAAATTGCATGGACCCAGTGCAGCTGCTATTATCCTTTTTTATATTATTATTCAACACAGTTGGGCTAGGGATGAATTTCATGGAATGTTTAAATGTTACGCTTCTGAGCAGTATAATGATCTCATTTGTGACCCATTAATTTAAGTGTAATTCAAATGACATGCTTGAGGGTATAAAGCTCAGTAATATTAAAACTGTCCTATGTCATTTAGCCTCACTGTGCCTACAGACTTTAGATAATCCTGGCTCTATGTGGCCGTTTATGGTTGGACCAAGGGACATTAACAATCTTTGGGCAGAGTTGATTGGCCAGGATAGATTTTCGAGACTGATAGCTAATGCTCCCCACCAAACAGGCTTCCATAGGTGCAGACATGCATGTGATCTTGCATTAGAAATGCCTTTTGTTGGCCTTGTCATTCATCCACCTTCTAATGTACTGAATGTAGACAACCTCCGGACAAATTTTCTAATTAACCCCCTGCGGTTGGGCTACCCCTGCACTGCAAGGGTTAACTGCTTGTTTTGGTCTAGGGAGGAAAATAACAAAGTTAAACTCGCCTGCTACTCCAAGCCGGCCGGCTGTGACAGCACTGCCGCCTCTGCTGTAGCGATGAAATGTCCCTCTGCATCCTCACATTCTATAAACTGTGTATAGAACATGATGACTCAGGGACTTTAGACCACTGCAATGAAGCGGACTGGAAGGACCGGTCTCGGAGTCAGCCGGTTTGGAGTATCAGATGAGCATAACTTTGATATTTTCCTCCCTAGACCAAAACAAGCGCTTAACCCTTGCAGTGTGGGGGTAGCTCCACTGCAAGGGTTAATAAACATTTTGCCTGGAGTTTTTCTTTAAGGGTTCAAGTCAATGGACAAATACAGCTTGCTTTGAGGTGTATTACCCTCACATTTGACATCACTTTCAGACATTTCTGACATGTTTTAGGGTTAATGGAAAGGTACAGTTGACCTCTTTCAGACCTCCTCCTAAGCTGTAGAACCTGCATCAATTTGCTGGTGTGTTCCTATTGACTTGTATGGGGAGAGAAGCAGTTTTTTTTTTTATGCAAGTACTAGTGCAACTCCTAGATAAAAGTTATTTTAGTTGTAATTGCAGATGCTCATCCAATAGGAAAAGAAAAAGCGAAGACACATTACACATGTATCAGTGTAAACTGCACAAAATATATACAAGCAAACATTCAGAGTACAATACTTTTTTAGCATATAAGAAGTTGTGTCCAGTGAGTTTTTTTGTTTTTAAAGTGAGCTATGTGAGTGCAAGAGATTATAAACCTTATACATCCATTCCAACCATTGTACAGGTTTCCAATGAAAGCTTTGTGCAGAGGAGGCAGGGCCATTGCTGCATTTATTTCATTTCCTGCCAGCCAGAAACTTTGTTGACCATGATTCCAAAAACACAAAGCAGATGCAGTAAGGTCTCGTTCACACCTAGGCGTATTGCATATGCGCGTCTGTCGCGCGTTTTTTTAACCGCGATTCGCGGTAAAGTCGCGCGTTTCCGAAGGCTACTTGGCTGTATCCCAATGGAAACGCACAACAAAACGGCCCAAAGTAGTACCTGTACCTTTTCAGGCGTGGGCTGTTTTGTAGCGCGTTAGGGACGCCAAGGTGGGAACGAGATCATTGAATACAATGGGATTTATATTTTTGAGCGTTTTGTAAAGCGTTCGTCGAGCGTAGAACGCGCTACAAAACGTTCAGGTGTGAACGAGGGCTTAGAAAAAAAAAAACCTTTCAAATATTTATCACTGAATTTTCCTTTTTATACCCAGAGATCTTTGAGGAATGATGTAAATGTTATTGACTTCCTCAGCTAAGCCAGTCTGACGTTAAAAAATTATTTCCCCAAATGAAATGACGATTTGAGAAGCTAGACACTCTGGGGTTTTTTTTTGCTTACTTTTAATAATAATAATACAGTGAAAGTGTTATTTATTAAGTTGATGTTGTGTTACATTTTGTTAATTATATGTTTTCTCTTGTAAGAAAAGCTGTAGATAATGATTAGCCTGATTGCAATAGTTTGCTGTTTTGAAAGAAAAGTATCTTTCCTAATGGGAGGATTCTGGTCGGTTTTAACATTTTCAGCATCACAGTTATGTAATGAGATGTTACATTTTCTTTTTTTTCTTTTTGGAGCTCTGGAACAGTAAAAAATACACATTAATGAGAATACAGCGACTAATGGTTAACAATTATGAGATGGGAATGCAAGATTTGAATCTAATAAAATACAAAATGAAAATTGAGTGTGGAAATATTATTTATGTTGTGTAGTGGTTCAAATCCAACAGCAAGTGTGCAATTTATAAAAATGAAAGGTCATCTCCGAATATATAAAAAAAAACGTAAGATAAAAACAGAGCGCCCCTTTTTATGTGTAGAACATTTATTAAGATTAAAACTTTGCATAAATAGATGTACTCAGATGCGCACTATCAAATGCACGTAGGTTAGTTGCAGCCAGAAAGAGCGTCACACTCGTATTCGTAGGAACTTATTCTTGCCAGCAAATATTGAAAATTATCCGCCGGTCACATCCCTGTCTGCACCGGCCCCTGTGTGCTTAGGCTGACACGTTTCTGGGGCACGCCACCTTCAGAGCCACTATTAATTAAAATGCTGTAATGGGTGAAGTGAGAGAGAGAAGTTATTTTAGAAAAACTAAAGGCCTGAAATTAGGGATGCACCTGTATCAGGAAGCCGGCTCCATGCTCCCTCGTCATGAGATGGCGCTGGCTTCCCGGCCAACCAGGATGCAGGGTGCTGCGTCATTACACGGCACCCGGCTTCCATGTTTGGCCAGCAAGCCGGCTCCATGCTTTCTCGTCACATAGTGACGAGAAGCATGGGACGGCTTCCTTGTTAATCGGGAAGCCGGGTTGCGAGTCATTACATGCCGCCTGGCTTCCTGAATGGGACTTCCGGTATTTGGTATCGGCGAGTACCGAAAAAATAAATATTGGTACAAGTACTCGGTACCAAAATACCGGTATCGGTGC